ATCTGATTCAGATGAATTTTTTTTTTTTTTTTTTTTTTTTTTGGGCAGCTGGTGGTACAGGTATCCAAACCTATGACCTTGGTGTTATAAGGCTGCACTCTAACCAGCTAAGCTAACTGGCCAGTCTCTCACAGTCTTTTTTTTTTTTTTTTTTGGCAGCTGGTTGTTAGGGGATCTGAACCTGTGACCTTGGCATTATAAGGCTGTGCTCTAGCTAACTGAGCTAACTGGCCAGCCCCAGATGAATGTTCTTAAGGGTTTTCAAAATTAAAGCTATTCAGATCTCACAATCTGAGTGGATTCTATTTTAATGATGGCGTAGCTAGATGGTGGGTGACTTTTAAGGGAAAATAACATTTCTGTGTACTTGAATATTTTCTTAATTTTTCAGGACTGACATAATTGTTTCATCCTGTTTTTCCTTTCAGTGAAAGCACGGACAGCTCAATTAGCCAAGATAAAATGGGTTGTAAGTGTTGCTTTCTACATATTGCAAGTAAGTGTACTCTAGTGTCACCTGGGGTCATTAAAGTTGGTAATGGACTGGCCTCCTGAGGTACAGAGCCTGCAGAATCCAAGGCTGGGAATTCATATGTTTCCACTTTAAGCTGCTGTGTTATGTGGTCCTGCCAGCATATAACTCTGAACCCTGTGAATTTTGAAGATAGACTAAAAGAAAGCCTTTCTCTTGATTTGAGTTGTTAAGGATTGGGACTTTTTGGCAAATGAACTCTGAAGCATCTTCCCAGGAGATCTTCCATATTGCCTTTATTCCAGTGCAGTTTTTGGGGCTTGGGGGGATGAAATGAGAAGCTTATATTGACATTGTGTTTTCTGTCACCTCTTGCAGAGTGACGGAAACACAAAAGATTACTCAGAGTCTGTGTTATTCAGAGCAATGAGAAGCCCGAAGGGACTGCGCCAAGGGAAAACTCCTTCAAGAGAGGAGAGAGCCCAGGCACAGCCCCGAGTCAGTTTTTGCTTCAGTTTTTATTGTAAAGACAAAAAAGTTACAGAAGAAAAACAGGTGGTTGATCAATCATAGTGAAAACATAAACTGGTTGTGTGACAATCTTTATTAAAGAAGGTGTAACTTAAAATAGTTTAAGCAATTTACCATCAAAAGGAGTCATAAAACTAAGCTATGTGATATACAAAAAGAAACAATGAAATAAGCACCAAAGCGCTTAGCTCCCCAAGAAACTCAAAGAAACAGCTTAGGGTGAGATGTGGAATGTCCCTCAAGCACTAACTAGCAAGAATATTCTTGAAGATTTTAGCTCACATACTTTCCCATCATTTAGGTTTAGCTGCACTAAGGGCAACTGCCCCCAGAGCAATCACTTCACTGTGCTGCAGTTGTCTTATCTACATCAAAGGCTTTAGTCCTGTGAAAGTTTTCTGGTCTTTTCCAATCTTAGTATTTCTGTGTATTTTCCTAAAGGCTTGGGCTTTGGTCCCTTAAGCTAGAGGCTCTGGCCTCCTAAACTACAGGACTCTGGTCCTTCTAAGCTACGGGCTTTGGCCCTATGAAATACATGTGTTTTATTTCTATCTCATTAATGTCAGAATCCTCCACAGTTTTCTAAGATCCTCAATAACTTTGACCATTACTTGCTACCTGGTGTGCTTAAACAGCACTCTCTATGCTCCAGGTAGGGAGCCATTTTTTCTCATCGAACTTGGCCCCCAACTTCTTATCTGTGGGATTTTTATTTGGTTAACTACCCATAGGACTGTTACTGCTTCTGCTGCCATGTTACTGTAAGGTCATAATGTGCTGCTGTGAACCCACTCCAGTGGCTGCCTAATCTCTGAGTTTTAATACAATGTGTCGTCTCTCCTGAGTTAAAGGATTCAAGCCCCCCCTCCCCCGCCAAAAAACCCCAGGTTTTTGGATATATTAAGTAACTGATCCTGAGGCACTGTCATTTGATATGAGCTAGGTTTCACCAAGACACAGGAATTAAACCAGGTGCCCTCTTTTAGGTCTGCTCATTTGAGTGGCATATTCAAGGCCATGAAGGGGACAGAAGACAACTGAAGGAATCCTGCTGGGGAAAGGATGAAAAATAAAGCATCAGTTTTCCACCCACCATTGAAACTTACAGAGGGCTCACCTCTGCATGTGTGTGCTAACACTTGTGTGTGTGGGGAGAATTAAGTATTTTTTCAAGGCTCTTAGAGAGAAGTATAAGATGGCTTTTGTTACTGATGTGTATTTGATATATAGTGTTTCTACTCAAAGGAAATACTCAGTGAGAAAAGAACACTTATGGAAGATCTGGTTATTTTATCAGCTAATTTAAATAGTGTGTATATAGTATTCATATTAAAATAGTAAAATGCCTGTTCACTTAAGAAGGCTCGCCCACTCGTTCAGTTTGTTCTAGATGTCCTTGGGAGCTCATACTTAATTAGACATTCTATTTCAAGGTTTCAGCAATGGAAATCAGTGGCTACTTTTATGTGTCTGTTGGCTGTGAGGACTGGATTGATAGGGCTTCAGGTCATCAATCTGGAGAGTTTCCTTAGTTTTTTTTTTTTAATGTTTCCTTGTCTTTCTTTCTGTGGCTATTGGTTGTGTGATTGGCAGGTTGTTTTCATTTACCAAAAGTATCTTTCCAGGCTGCCCTGATGATCTCGCTCATTTGGAAGTACTATTCTGTCCCTGTGGCTGTTGTGCCGAGTAAGTGGATAACCCCACTAGACCGCCTGGTAGCCTTTCCTACTAGAGTAGCAGGTAAGATTTTTCTGGAATATATAGTGGGCGAGTATAGTGAGGCTTATGTAGAGGTGTGTGGTAGAAGATTACATTGGCCTGGCATCATTCTCACATCCATTTAGTGAGCTCTCTGTCTCAGCCCCACATGAGGCTTGCAGTGAAGAAACGAGGTCTAGAGAAGTTACTTAACTTGTCCAGTGTCACCAGAATGTTAAGGAGCAGAGCTAGGATTCAGTCCCAGGTCTGCTTCTGGAATCCATATCCAGTACTTGGAGTCTGATACCCCCTTTATTGAAACATTGCCTCTAATTCCCGAATTCTGTGTCTTTTCAACCTGTTTTATGGTTGGCCTCTGCAGCACTTGCTGCTCTTTTAATTTTTGAAAGATAACCTCCTTTGGATGTTCAAAGTAATACATGTTATTGTAGAATGATTAGAAATATAGGAACAATTTTGAAAAAAATCTTATTAGCTACAGATAAACTCTCTTATTGTTGCGGTCTACTTTTTCTAGTCTTTTTTTCCCATTTATTTTGAAATAGTTAAGGTCATCTGGCAGTTATCATTTTATATCCCCTTTTTACATTATACTGTAAGCCTGTTCCCCTGTGTCTTAGTTTGTTTGAGTTTCTGTAACAAAATACCTTAAACTGGGTAGCTTATGAACGACGGAGATTTATTTCCTGTTAGTTAAGGTAGCAGAGGCAGGAAATGTGGGCGGGACTGTTGGTGTGCTCACTTACGTTGAATTTCTTTATTTTCAGGTGGTGTTGGAATTACCTGTTGGATTTTAGTCTGTAACAAAGTTGTGGCTATCGTGCTTCACCCTTTCAGCTGAAAAGGGAGATGAAACAGCTGCGAGCCTTTTAAAAATGGATTTTCTCTTAGGTTAAAAATGTGATTTACACTGTTTTGTTTTTAAGAAACAAAAATGCACAGGTTAGGTTTTTTGTTGAATATGTTTGTTCTTGGACTTTATGTGGGAATCTCTGAAACAGCTGCGAGCCTTTTAAAAATGGATTTTCTCTTAGGTTAAAAATGTGATTTACACTATTTTGTTTTTAAGAAACAAAAATGCACAGGTTAGGTTTTTTGTTGAATATGTTTGTTCTTGGACTTTATGTGGGAATCTTACAAGAATCATGATTTTCTATACTTGTCATTGAGCCAGAAAGGCCAGTTTATGGCACGTGTGTGCCAACCAACATCATCCAAGATTTGTAGGAAATGTGAAACGTTACAGAGCGTCCACATGCTGTTACTTGTGATGTGCAGTCTTGGCATATCTTAGTCATATTGCCAACTGGAAAGTCAAAATTTCCTCACAACTTAAGTACTTTGAAGACTTAGTGCTATTTCTAATCCCATTTAGAAAGTAGCTTAATTTTAATACCACTGCTGGAATATGAAAAGTTGATTTTTAATTTCGTGCAGTGCCACTTAAAGAATAACACTAATTGATGTTGCTTGTGCTTTTTCTTCCTGTTTAAAATGTCATTTGTTGGACAGGTGTTTGTATAATATTATCTACTTATTTGGGACTGTTAATTTTTCATTTCAGTGTTTTATAAATGTATTCCTGAGACCATAATGTGTTGTTTTGTGCTTGAATTCTGTTTTATATTTAAAGCATTTCAAATGAAGTATATTTTGTAAGCATTTAATATTTATGCTCTGTAGAATGGAACAAAGCTAAAAACAGACTAGGAAGTCTGATTAAATTAATCTGAACTGATATCTGTTTGGCCCATAAAGTGTAATTCTGCTAAATCTATTTTTCAGAACACTTTTTTCTAATTAATCTTTACAAGTGCTTGTGACTTACCTCCTTACAGCCACTTAGACAAGTGGCGTAGAGGCTTTAGCCATTAATTAAGTGGAGAACCACAGCACAGTACAGCTAAATTCTGTCACCAGTTTTTCTGTTCTTTTGTTCTATTCTTGTGATCATATTTCTATTCTATTCTTTTTTTTTTTTTTGTCCTTTTTGAGACCGGCCGCACCGCGCTCAGCCAGTGAGCGCTGTGAGCGCACCGGTCATCCCTATATAGGATCCGAACCCACGGCGGGAGCGCTGCTGCGCTCCCAGCGCCGCGCCACGGGCTCGGCCCTCTATTCTATTCTTGTAATCATATTTCTGTTCTTGTGTTCCCTGATGATCTAATAAGTAGTCATTATTATTTTGGCAAATTGTACTGTGACATGACCAAGTCCTGTGGTCCTTTAAGTTAT